TCTCTCTCTTTCTCTCTCTTTTTTTCCTTCCTTAAAACAGTTTTCAAAATCTTAATTTTTTCCTCTAAAGCCGTTTATAGTATAAAAAAACTAACGTCACTTGATAATACTGCACTGCAATTAAATTTCATTCATTTTATCTTTTCTTAAGATAACGTGAAATGAATATATTAGTAATGCTCATTTTCATTGTCTTTAACAAAACACTTTTTAATAAAAATTGATTGGCTCTAAGAGTACTGTATAATTATAACTTAAAACATTTTTTTATATTAATTATTTTTTATATTTTAATCCCACATATTCGCTGTGAAATATAATAAAAAACGATTTTTCTGTAAGGAATATTTTACCCCTTAAAAGAGTGGACAGGCATGAATATACGGTAGCTTAATTTTTAGTTTTGTCTGACATAATATATTTTAGAAACATATCAATATCGAAGGGGACACTTGGGTCTCTTTTCTTGTTAATAATATACAAATATGCGTGTTATAAATACAAATAAAAATATAAAGGACAATAAAAATGAGCATTACTATATAATATATTCATACGTTATCTTAAGATTTTATACTATAAAGAGCTTTAGAGGAAAAAATTAAGATTCTGAAAACTGTTTTAAGGAAGGAAAGAGAGAGAGAGAGAGAGAGAGAGAGAGAGAGAGAGAGAGAGAGAGCGAGGAAGGAACAAAGGAGAGCGAAGGAGAAATTGTAAAGAAAGAGAGGATCCCCGGTATGTACTTCTTAATGGTGTGGGTGTGTCGGTGCGGATGGAGGAGTAAGTTTTAAAAACATCCCGGCCGACGCGCCTCCGCTGTGGTGCTGGTTTTATCGCTGCCTCCCGCCTCCAGGAGGGACCCCTCTTTCTCTCTCTTCCTCCCTGGACTCTCCGCTCCTCCGTAAACCCCCATCCGGGGCAAAGCCTTGCACCACCGTGGCACCGGAGCACTTGCCTACTGTACGTACTGTCGGGTTGTAAATCCACCGAAAAGCATCTGCGGGTATCAAGAAACAAGTCCCGGGCCGCAAACACGCGCGACGGGTGAGCTTTTAAACCTGCATGAGCGCAGCGTGCAATTCCGTAACGATCTGTGCACGCAGGTGCTCCGGGTGGAACAACGAGAAAAAGTTACCGCTTAAATGCACCCCGCGCGCGATGTGCGCTATAGAGAGTGCTTAGAGTTTCTTTTTTTATCGCACGCGTTTGTCATTAACGCAACGAGAACACAGGGGGTGATTATTCATAAGAATATTCGCACGGATGAGGAAAATTATAATGAGACGAAGAGATTAATATTAAAAATTCAAATTATTATAAAATAACGATTAAATAATTAAACAATTAAATCAATGTTTCTTTTAATTTATACGTAAACTGTATTTGCCCGTATAATAATATTAGCGATCCTCATGATAATTTATTTCGTGTTTATTTGTGTCGCGATCGATTAATGATAATAATATTAATTCGTCGACTATTTGTCCCGACGAGCATTTACTCGAGCATACTCGCGCGAGTGCCGAGGCATGTAACAAATTACGTGTAACAAACTGAAACTACGAGGCGGCCAAAGAAGGTGACTAAGAGACGTTTTTAGCGTAAGTTCGACGCGAAACTCCCTCTCCTCCCCATCACCGTACTTCCCGGCTCGTCTACTTCGACGTTACCGCGTTCACGTCATTCTGCCGGTCTTTTTGCTCGAGATACTTTCCCTTTGACCGACAGCAGTAGATTGGATATTTTTCCTTGTGGCGCACCTGGTTTTTCCTTCCTGTGCAAGAGACGGACCAACGAGACGCGCGCGTATCGCGCGCGTCTGAGGCTCTCGCGCCTTGCCTATAACGCAACGTGCGCGCGTTCGCACACGCAGACGGAACGGAATCGCGGGCGGCCGATAGCTGCCGATGCCGCTGTACATTTGCAACGGTGAAAGCGGTAGTCGAGAAAGGTATAGGAGAAGGAGGCGCGGCGCGAGAAACAAGTCGTCGCATCAACATCCTATTTCGTTTCCCATTACGTAAACGTCTGAAGCACGCGATTTATTTGTTTTATTTTCGTACGGAATGCTCTTTGGCAGGACCTCAAAGGCGAGGCCGAGGCCCGCCCGTCTCGCTCGTCGGTCCTTTCCGGCTCTCTCCCTCTCACGGTGGTTACCCTTGCCGCTCTCGCAGCCCTTGTAGACCGACGACTCCTCACATATGATTACCATCGACGTGAAGCGAGCTAATATCCGAATTTTTGCGATTCCTTTTACGGGATATTGAAAGCCATTTTCCTCCTTCCTTTTGCCCTGTCTTCTTCCATTCCGGAACTCTGACTTTCTCGGCTCTATTGAAATACACCGTCTTGTCTCTTTATAGATTCATCGAGCGTGGACCGAGCTATAAAATTGGTTAAATATATTGATCATGAATAAGTAAGAACGCGGGACCATATGTATATTTCGATTCATCGACTTATCCTAATTTCCCAGATTAAAGATGCAGATTTCGATGATCGAGCTGTTGCGCGCTATTAAATCGCAAGAGCCAAATATTACCGTAAT